CTTATTATAATTCTCCAGTAGCGGTTGAATAGATGAGTGATCTATAACATGGATGGAGTGAGACAACAGGTTGGACCAAACTACAGGAATTTGAATAAAACTTTACATACAGAGAGACTGCAACTTTCAATTTAGTAATCTGATTCAATAAAGGATATATACACAAAGATGTTTATTATAGTGTTATTTTTATTATTCTTTTTTTATAGAGCAGGGTCTTGCTCTATTACCCAGGGTAGCATGCAGTGGCCTAATCATAGCTTTCTGTAACCCTTAACTCCTGGGATCAAGTGATCCTCTCACCTCAGCCTCCCCAGCAGCTAGGACTACAGGTGTGTGCCATCACACCAAGCTAATTTTAAAATTTTTGTAGAGACGAGATTTTGCTGTGTCACTCAGGCTGGTCTTGAACTCCTAGCTTCAAGCAATCCTCCTGCCTTGGCCTCCCAAAGCCTTTGGGATTATAGGTGTGAGCCACTCTGGTCTACCTGTAGTATTATTTTTAATGGTTAAAAATTGGAATCATTCTAGAGCAAGGGAGTGGTTAAATAAATCGATATATCTATTTGATGGAACATTAGCCAATAATATGGTAAATATAAACACTCTAATAATATGGAGAATATCGACTGTGCTGAGGGGAAAAAGCAGAATACAAACTGTCATGTTTGCATCAGTTGCAATCATGTAAAAATTATGTAAATATTGATAAAAATTCAAGGAGAACATGCATGAGTGAAAACTGTTGAGTGGTGAGATTATGTAGGATTTTATTAGTGTTGTTATAATGTTATTTGTGTAATAAACAAGTAATACAAGAGGATATATTCAGAGCAATGGAAATAAGTATGAACAGATTCAATACACTTTATATATATGGTATATTATACTGATACTTAAACATTTCTTTGGAAATAGAAAAAAAATATGATTTCCAAAATGTTTTTTTAGCAAGTTATTTTCTTGCAAATCAAGCTAAAGTATGTACAAACTAATAATAGGATCTTGGACTTAGCAGTAAAGAGAAGGATGCAGATTGCTCTACTCATTGAACCATTAGCAGTTGCTGTGAGAAATCATCGCAAATGACATGGCATAAAAATGAGTATATTCTGTGTTGTTAGAAACATGTGGGCCTTATGATTATATTAGATAAAATCTGCAAACATTTACACACAATTTGAGTAGCATTTTCTATAGCCATCGGACAATTGGATTCTTAATCTTGATGGTTTTGATAAAGGCTAATTCTTAATTGCTAAGGAATATCTAATGTTGAGATTTGCAGTTTTATTCTTATGCATTTTAATGGCATATGGTCTTGTGTCCCTGTCAAGAATGTGAGAACTTTATTCAGCTAATAAATCTGCGGTTTAAAAGTCCTCATTTACCCAGAAATCATAGGTTGAACATATTCAATCATAGGTTGAATCATATTTTTCACTAGAGAGCTTTAAGATTGATTCTCCTTGTGATTTTGGTGTGATCCCAACTGGCTGTTGGCTGTAGTAGGTTTGATATGTTCTTTGCATGTTTTTTCTTGTCCTTATATGCATGTCTTAGACAGAGCTGAAACACCACTGCTTTCCTCTAGTATTTGGAGTTATTACTTGAGCAGATAAGAAGCCATGCTTGGGATAGTGTGTTTATCAAGAAAAATGTGTATTGAATGTCATGTGTTTCACTATGGCTGTTCTTCCATGGCAGTGCTGGGAGAAGGACTGGCCAAGGGAGATGACGCCTTTCGAACCGTGCTCTACTGCATGCAGCTGAAAGGAAAGCTCCAACCTGTATCCACCATTCTTGCCAAGTCACTGACCGGAGAGTCCCTGGTATGTGGATGAGCTCTAATTATGAATGCCTGAAAATAAACTTTTATTTGACTCTCTAGATACATTGTGGGAAAAACTGGTTTGTATTTTTACCTCTTAGTTCTTCCTGTGAGAAATCAAAGATCATGAGTATTTTGAGGTATGGTACTCATTTTTCTTGAGCAAACTGATGTTTAATCATTGAATTTTTGTCGTTTGTGATAATTTATATAAGAATTGCAGGGACTTGTAAATCATTTGAAAATATAAGATAACTAAATGGTTTTCTTTAAAGATATAATTTAACAGAGCCTGGAAATATTTTTGAGTTTTAAAATTGCCATGTAGTTTTATGATCTTCTAGGGTTCTTAAATTCAATCGTTTATTTCATAAGATGTTGAACTCTAAGTAATAATTACATTTCTTTCTGAAGATGATGTGTGTGTAAGTCAGTATCTGTAACCACTCTGGTGGAGCTATCTAATTCTATTCAGACTTTGGGATAAGTGTTTTTTATATGGAATTT